ATAAATTAACACACAAGTTTTACTGGAGACAGATCAACAGACATCATAGCTTTTTTCATAATTTCTGATTTAATATATATATCGAATATCTAGTGATGTATAATTTTTACATAAATATAAATATACAATTTTTTATATATATATATATATATATATATATATATATATATATATATATATATATATATATATATATAAAATTAGAAATAAAAGCTGTCATACTGATGGTGAAGCACAACACGCTTATATATATATATATATATATATATATATATATATATATATATATATATATATATTGATGTGTTTTCACCATCAGTATAGTAGCATTGATTTCAAATTAATCACTCTTTGATTTAATTATTTTATATTGATTAGTCTTTTCTTGTTTGTTCATTGGAGTTAATACCAAAACCCAACATTGAAATGCCAACCTTAAAACTCGACTGTTTTTCTGTCAGTTTTCATGATTCTTATCCATATATTACACGATGACCTGGTCATATAACTTATATATTTTCTTTGCATCATTTTTATTTACTGGAACGAAAATTGTGTTTTATCTTATAGCAAATATATATATATATATATATATATATATATATATATATATATATATAGTGAGCTACTTTTCAGAGGTGACATGGTGGACATGGAATATTTTGAAGTTTTTTTTATTCAATTATTATTGACTTCGTAAAACTTTTCTCTCTCTCATTTGTCACTCTCTTTCTTCCTCCCTCTTCTCTCTATTGCTCTGTCTTTTCTTTTTCTTTCTCCATCTCTTTCTGTTTTTTACACTAGTAAAATAATTTAATACAAAATATACCCTGTCCGTGATATTTAACTAAACATACATAAAAGAAGTATTGCTGCCCAAATACACAATATGTACAGGTTGTTTAAAAAGACACTATGCTCTTATATTTTTATTCATAGGCAATTTCAATATTACCTACAGGGGGTGGGAGAATATGAATTGAAATTAGAAACAATGTTTTTAAAAACATATTGAGATGAAATCCGAAATAGTGTACAGTAAACTTCCAAACACCCTGTACACACACACACACACACACACACACACACACACACACACACACACATATATATATATATATATATATATATATATATATATATATATATATATATATATATATATATATTAATAATAAATGCATTTGCTTTGACAAGTCGAGGGAAATGTTTTTTTCCCGTGGATGAAATGGCCATCTGTACGGGGTAATTAGTTTGGGTTTCATTGAGTGTAATTCACACACACTCACACACAAATACACACATCGTGCGTATGTGTATATATATATATATATATATATGTATTGATAAGACACCAGAAGGGTTGAAATAAAATAGCTATTTTTGTAATGATTTTATAACATATTTATGTTATAATTTTCGAAAACATAACTATATATATATATATATATATATATATATATATATATACTTTAGAATTCAGAAGATCAGTTAAATCCGCCACCTTGATTGAACCCAAGGTATATATATTTAATAATATATATTTATTTATATGTGTGTCTGGGGGGGCATTTTCTTTTCCATTTGTAACTAGCAGCTAAAGAAATAGCGGCCTTGTTTCGTTCCGAGATAAGGTAAAAAAAGAAGAAAAGAATGCAGCTGATCTCTTTACACTATGCCCGCAAGTGTGTGTTTATATGTTTATTCATCACGCTTTGCTGTAATATTTTATACATGAGCTTCCTCGCTTGCTATGGCGACGTCAGGTGGCAGTGTTTTTTGTTACAATGCCACGAGGTGACATGGACCGACTTCTGGTAAATGTAAAATGGCAAAATAATAATAATCATTGGAAAATAGCTACGGAGGTCAGGAAATTGTGGAGATCCGTGATCGCCTACATTCTGAAGGGACATTTGAAGAAGATGATGATGTCAAATTTTTCTAATGAGAGGAACGAATAAAAAAAAACATGCCGTCCGGATAGACAACATTGGAAGTGGAAGGTCGGTTTTTTATTGTTGTTAATATTTAACAGCCCACCACCACGAGGTATGTATGTGGCACAAGGCCGAGTTTAACGTGTGTTCTCCGAGCCAAAAATATTCCCTTAAAACCCGCCCTAACGGGTTCAGGGGTCTGTCTCCCTCCCCGGATGAAACATTACCCTTCGGCAAAACCTCGTCCGGGTTCCTCTCTACTCAAGGCAGAGAGTTCGACATTAGAACAGTTTTTTTTATTGCTGTTAAGTAATAAACTTGATCCCACTAAAATTTCTACATGTTAATTGAAAAATAAAACCTAATTGTACAAGAGACACTGCGACCAAAAATAGTTGATGCTAATTACGTGATCTATGCGAATGATTCTTCTTAAATATGTGGTCTGTTTTAAAGAAGATTATCTACATGTACAAATTTACTTAAAAGTAGCGCTTAAATAGTATATAGGGAATGAAAGCTTCCGGTAGATGTTATGTATAAAGAAAAACTATGCGATCCAAAGCCAAAAATTTATTTATTACATTTCTGAATGATGTTAAAACATTTTATAGGTAGTATTAATTAAAACAATAATTTCCTTTAGTTTTTTTTATCATAAGGTACTATTTGTTTAGTATATTATTATAATATATTAAATAAAGACTACGTTTTCTTATCTTATTCCGGATATATCTATATTTAATCTATATTTTAATGTAGAGAATTATTCTTTAATGATGCGTTGTTCTGAAAAATGATACTCGGAAGGTAGATCACATATTTACCACTAAATATTCCTTGATTTTTAATTATTTTTCCCATATCACAAATGATTAAGCACTCGAATATATATATATATATATATATATATATATATATATATATATATATATATATATATATATATATATATATATATATATATATATATATATATATATATATATATATATATATATATATGACCATATCACAAATGATTAAGCACTCGAACATATATATATATATATATATATATATATATATATATATATATTCGAGTGCTTAATCATTTTGATATGTGTATACAATGTGTTTACATAGCAATATGCCGCCCCTGTTAATTTTTATTGCCCCCTTAAATTTTATAAATATATATATATATATATATATATATATATATATATATATATATATATATATATTATTAAAATATTATTAAAAACACATTGTAAAACTCCTCTACGGAAACCAAAACAAATATGTTAATACTATCAGATTTTTCATTTTTTTTTTATTACATTCCAAGAAAACGTAGGTGTATATTTGTTTTGGCTTCCGTAGTGTTGGGATTGTATCCATATACAATTCATTCGCATTACTCTTATTTTCTGTTATATATATATATATATATATATATATATATAATGAGCCAAATGATAACACACAACCGTAGTAATATACAAACTTACACACATCATACTCACTCACTCCCTAAGAACCAAATAACACACACACTTAACAGAGACACATCCCCTTTCCAAAATTATGTAATGAACCATGTCTTAAAGAAAACATGCTGCAAAATATATATATATATATATATATATATATATATATATATCTATAGAAAAAGTTTCAAATTAAAAATTATAATGTTTTATTTTATGAAAGTATTTATTTAGATATTTCAAATTGTCCTCAATTTTTCATCAGAAATAACTGTTTGTTACAAATAAATATATTCATATATATGTATACGTCCGCTTTTCAGGAACCAATAAAAATGTCAAAATGACCAAGGGAATTAAGAGCAGCATGAATCCATGCAGTTCTTATCTTAAATAACAACATAAGAGAGACTGTTTGACCAACACAAGTTTGACCAAAATTCATGTTCAAAAAACAAAAAAAATTTAAAAAAAAAACAAATGAAAACTACAGACAAAAGTTCATTTTCTCCATCAAGACATTCATTTCTGTAGTTCACTGTTACCAGCAAGCAGAATTTTTTTTCTCCTGATGATGGCCATGTTGGCCGAAACTAGTCGAGGAATCTAACTGAAATAATAATAATAAAAACGAAAGAATATTAATATGCAAAGCAGTGTGTCTGAAGATTTTAATTTTTTAATATATTTTATGGTTCAATATATATACATATGTGTGTGTGTGTTATAATATAATAAAAAAAAACTTAGATCTTCGTAATCTTGATTGCTAGTGATTAAATACATTTGAAAAAAAAAGAAGGATAATTTCCGATCACACTTCCTGATGATGTTCAATTACCCGATAAAATATTCATATTTGAAACGAAATAATATCCAGGAAGCAAATTACGACGTCATTTTTGACATCATGAGTATCAATGTATTAATAAAACAACAGGCCATCGATTTTCTATTGATATCATATAATAAACAGATTCGCCCGATGTATACAATTGATATAGACATGGGCGGTCGATGCTTTTCCGATACGTGATTGATTCGGTAGAAGAATTTCTCGCAATAGGCTGCCATTTCTTGCTGTGGTAGACTGGTAACCAACCATGGCTCTAGGCTCAGTGTGTCCTGTGAGTTAATCAACAGCCGGAGAAGAGACGGACTTGTACGTTTTCAAAGGGTATTTTCGCGTATGAGAATGTAACGAGGCCGACTCTAGATTCGAACTCGGCTCTCCAATATTTCATTCCGAGCCGTTAGCACCACACAACACAACACCACACTATCTATATACCAATTTTAAAAAAAGGATATACAAAGACTGACATTTGAAAACCCTTATAATACGATGGACTTAACCGTAAATTTGTTTGTTTACGGTCTTGGTTAACTAGTAATGTAATGATATATGAAAGAAAATTTTATATATATATATATATATATATATATATATATAACATTAAACTTTACATATATGTGTGTTTGTGTGCGTGTGTAAAATGAGACAAAGAAATGAAGGCGAAACGGGTTATTATTAAAAAGCTTTTCAATTTTGTTTCGTTTCTCAGCTTTGTTTAGATACTGTATCCTATTAAGACGCAGATAGATAGACAGATAGATAGATAGATAGATAGATAGATAGATGTGAACAGACAGACATAAATAAATAGATAGATGTGAACAGATTTAGATAGATAGATAGATAGATAGATAGAGAGATAGATAGATAGATAGATAGATGTGAACAGACAGACATAAATAAATAGATGTGAACAGATTTAGAGAGATAGATAGATGTGAACAGACAGACATAAATAAATAGATAGATGTGAACAGATTTAGATAGATAGATAGATAGATAGATAGATAGATAGATAGATAGATAGATGTGAACAGACTGAGATAGATAGATAGATAGATAGATGTGAACAGACTGAGATAGATAGATAGATAGATAGATGTGAACAGATAGATAGATAGATAGATGTGAACAGACTGACATAGATAGATAGATAGATGTGAACAGACTGACATAGAGATAGATAGATAGATAGATGTGAACAGACTAACATAGATAGATAGATAGATAGATAGATGACATGATGAATAGATAGACTGAATAGATGACATAGATAGATAGATGATGAACAGACTGACATAGATAGATAGACAGAGATGTGAACAGACTGATGGATAGATAGATAGATAGATAGATAGATGATAGATAGATGATAGATGGATAGATAGATAGATAGATGAATAGACTGAGATAGATAGATAGATAGATAGATAGATAGATAGATAGATAGATGTGAACAGACTGAGATAGATAGATAGATAGATAGATGTGAACAGATGGATAGATAGATAGATAGATGAGATAGATAGATAGATAGATAGATAGATAGATGTGAACAGACTGAGATAGATAGATAGATAGATGATGAACAGACTGAGAGATAGAGATAGATAGATAGATAGATAGATAGATAGATGATGAACAGATGAGATAGATAGATAGATAGATGATAGAGATAGATAGATAGATAGATAGATAGATGATGTGAACAGACTGATAAATAGATAGATAGATAGATGTGAACAGATTTACATAAATAGATAGATAGATAGATAGATAGATAGATAGATATGAACAGACTGACATAAATAGATAGATAGATAGATAGATAGATAGATAGATAGATAGATAGATAGATGTGAACAGACTGACATAAATAGATAGATAGATAGATAGATAGATAGATAGATGTGAACAGACTGACATAAATAGATAGATAGATGTGAACAGACTGACATAAATAGATAGATAGATAGATAGATAGATAGATAGATAGATGTGAACAGACTGACATAAATAGATAGATAGATAGATGTGAACAGACTGACATAAATAGATAGATAGATAGATAGATAGATGTGAACAGACTGACATAGATAGATAGATAGATAGATAGATAGATAGATAGATAGATAGATAGATGTGAACAGACTGACACAAATAGATAGATAGATAATTTCTGGAGCCATGAAATAAACTTCTAGGTTGGCGGGTTCAGTTCAGAATCCTAACCCACGAAGCTGAAACACGCTATCATTAAAAAGCTTTTCGACTCGTTTCTCAACTTATTTCGTATTTTAATTCCCACTAAAAAGCACACACAAAACTAAAACGCATATATATGTTTGTGTGTGTGGAGGCCGACATCGACTTACCTAAACAGTTGACTAAATGAAATAAGCTTAATTGACTAAAACTGTGATGTACTCTCCTCACAATATTTTGACAAGTACACCTCAGGCCTCATTGAACAATCGGATAGCCAGAAATGAACTCGTGCTACTGTTTTGTTTACCATTGTCATTAGGTTGAATATAATGGCTTATTGAAAGCGGATCTCGCACAAGAACAGGCGAGGTTATCTTATTCAAATTATCCGTTTTCATTCTCGGGTCTCTTTCAATTCATTCTTCGCCAGCGTAATTACCACTGTGCGTGTGTTCATCAATTCCATTGAGGCAACTGATTTATTTAAGTCGTTGTCTTCATCCAGGACCCTGAACCCGATAAACGGTAGCCAAGCTTTAATTATGAAAGGCTTCATGCCTTTCCTTCCAAATTGATCGCCACGCAAAGATTCCTTAACATAACCCAGTCCCGGGTTCATGAATACTTCCAAGAGATGAATAAAAAAAAAAGACAAGTTCGGTGACTCGTGCTTCCAATTTTTTTTTTTAACAGACTGGAAAGTAGTCACTTAATTGGGAATCATAACGCGAAAAGATGGTTAATTTTAAGTTTTTACTTTCTGTCGTCAAATTTTCACCGTCAGTAAAATATCTAACAAAAATCTCTCTTGGAATCTCTTTTTCATGGTAACTGCTCCGAAGAGCTGCTTTCGCTGGTTCCCAGACTTCATGAATTTAAGCGTTCTACAAGGCTGGCATCTCGCTCTCATTCTTTCATTGTCTAAACTGTTAAATATAGCCGTCTCTTCTACTTCAATAGCTTCATGTCTCGCACTTCTCCCCTGTGGAACTCCCTCCTCTCTTCCTGTTTCCCTGATAGCTATAATCTCCAACTATTCAAATGTAATGTCAATCGACCTCTCCAGATGCCTCGATCTATCCCCTATCCTTCTCTTCATCCTTTCCTCTATCACTCCTATTTGTTGTAACTCCAACTCTCTGTAACCCCTTGCGTGCTAGTGGCTTCCCGCCATGCTTCGGGTGAAATGCTTAAAAAAGAAAAGAAAAGAAAAGAAAATGTTATTTATTTTTAGACAGCACATAGAAATATTTCTTTAGAAACAACGTAAAGAGTAGTGAATTGTTATCTAATACCCGTCCTCCTATATGGCAGTGAATGCTGGACATTCTCATCACAAAGGAAGAGCAGACTTGAGGCAACAGGAATATGTTCATACACAACGATACTGACACCAAACACGTGAACAATGACGAAGTTCTATAAAATAATGGATACAGAATGGTCACATATATTTAGAATCAGAAAGAGACTGTAGAAATTCCTCAGACACATAATGAGGAAAGACGGCTTGGAGAATGTAACACTCACATGACATAATGAAAGCAATAGAGACAGAGGAAAACAGCGCATAACATATCTAGCGAGTTTGTGTAAGTGGTTGGCACAACAGGGGCTAGAAGAGAGCAAAAATATAAATCTTACTAACAGCTACAAAGGAAGGGAAATTGTGGAGAGCCATGATTGTCCATGTCCTGTGGGGTCAAGGTATATAGAAAAAGAAAACTGTAAAATAATTATTTCGAATTTCGCTAAAAACATCAACAGTGCGAAGTTGTAATTCGTAAAAGTGAATACGTCTCTCTCGTGTTTGTATATTTTTCCTTTGTACTAGATATCTTACTTTAATAATCTTTTTATTGTACATACAAAGGCCGTTTTAAAGTGTTTAGCAGTTAAAATATTCGTACAGAAACAAAAGTTGCCTTTATAAACAAGCTCGCTTTTTGTTGTCCCTTATGATTCATTTGCAATAAAAGCAACTAAATCCTTCATTTTTAACAAGGCGAAAATGAAAAAAAAAAAAAAAAAGTAGAATAGTTTTTTTGTTTTTTTTTTAAATTTTAAATTGCACCCCGAACCGGCGCGTACTACTCCTGAAACCTGTGACCTGTGAGAAAAGCCTGATTAGGGACCCAGGGTAGTTCCTTCTGACCCTTGTTATCTTATCAACATTTGCTTTTTTTTCCACCTATATTTATATACGTTACAAATTAAACAAAGCACAACTGAATATTTTAAAGGATCAAAATTTTCACGAATTTTGACGTCATTCTGGGGTCTGTTTATTTATTTTTGTCCAAATTCGTGAATTTGTTTTGTTAATTCTAAATCTCGTAAAACAATATAAAATTCACTATTTTTGATCCATAACGTTGAATGTGTTCTCATCTTTTAAGAAAAAAAAATTTCAAGTTGATGTTAAAAACTACCGCAAAACCTTATTGATTTATTTATGGAATGATCTGTTATGACATGTCTCTAATTTCAATTTAGATACATTGGATTTATTTACAATTTTTCTAGTTGAATTGTTCACCTATATTGCATATGATCTATTATTGTACATAATTAGGTTACAATAAAATTTGTACTTTATATGAATAAAACTACCTTGTGAAAATTGAAATATAGTCGAGTAGGGGTTCCTCGTGTCATAGGCTGGAGGGAGGAGTAAGAATCTTTTGCACCGGCCCTGCTTGCATCATTCTTTTTTTGACAGATCAAATGTTTTAAAATCTCTGTATATATCTAATTCTAAATACGTGCATATAAGACTTTATTTCGGCTACATCAGGCCTGCACAATTAAACAAAATAGAGCCATATTGATCGCAGAAAATTTAATGGCCTTCCGTGAGAGTAATTTTCGTTTTTTTTTTTTGTTTTGTTTTATTTGCAGTAATTTAATGAGTTTGAAATGAAAACAAATAGAGAGAGGGGGGAGAATATTCTTTTTTTTATTCTAAGGGGAGTTAAAATGGATTAATTAATCAAGAATAAAGACGATGGGTTATTGGTTTTTGCTTAAAACTTAATTATTCGTACGCGATAAGTCACCGAATTTAGTGATGAACACAAATATTTACTATTTAGAGACATACTGACAGATTAGGTAGTTTTGAGAGACACATGCAGGTTTTATTTTGTGCATGGCCCGTCTATATTCTTCATTGAAAATCTTTTCTTTCTTTTTTTTTTTTTATAACCGATGAAGCTGACTATTGATATCAGCGTATTTAAAAAAAGACATATACAAGCCAGG